TGAGCTCATATCTTTGTTATTTCTTCCTTTCCCTAAGATTTTGGTAGGCTGTATGGGGAAAAGATTGAGAGGACCACTCTGGTATCCCCCACCCCTTCCTCGTCTTCCACAAGACCTCTCACATCCTTACCCTTACTGAATGCCACTCTCATTCTCATGCAAGACCTCTCCTCACTCATTTTCTAGAGCTGCACAAACACTCCACAGATAATAAAAATCCTATACCAGTGCTCATAAGATTGCTCCGTCTTTCAGTGACAACTAACATCCATCCTCCTCCTTTTCCCACACATCAGCTAAGGGCCATCTGCCTGCTGAAGATTGGCAAATACATTTCACTCATTTGACCCCGTTAACAGGACTCATTATTTACTGGTTTAGTGGATACCCATATGGGATAGACAGAAGCCTTCCTCTCCACCAATAAAAGGGTTTCCACCGTGACCAACATGCTCTTAACTGAGATCGTTTTGAGGTTTGGATTGCTAGCTTCCCTGCAGTCAGATAATGGACCAGAATTCAATTCTCAGATTTCTCAACACCTGGCAAAATTATTCAACATAAACTGGCACTTTAATATTCCTTATCACTCCCAGTAATCATAATAAGGGCAAATGGAATCTTAAAAGATACATATCTACTGGACTTCAAAACAAAATGATAGGAAATCAACAATGACTACCATAATATATCTTGTTATCTTCAAAATAGCTGCCCATGCGATCAGATATAATAAAATCAAACCAAACAAAACAGAATACAGTTTGACAGGTTTTATTCTGTTGTGTTGTATTTTATTTGATTTTATTAGGTCTGATGGTATGGGGAGTTATTTTAAAGATAACAAGAGGCATTATGGTAGCCATTGTTGATTTCCTATTATCTTGTTTTGAAGTCCTGTTTTGCTTTCACTGTTTTGTTTTGATTGGTTTTAGTCTGTTTTTATTTGGTTTTATTCTCTTAAAAATTAAAAAGAAAAAAAAACATACAGTAAATTCACCATTCAAGTACAACGTTGGACCCACCCCTGCTTCTCAAGCTGAGACTCTCCCTGTGACCTCACCATGCTAAGCCCCTTTGCATTAATGTATGGAAGGATCCTTACTCCAGACAGTTACAGATTCCAACATCCTGGTGGACCAGAATCCTTTACTTCTAAGTCCTCTACTCTCATCCCTGTTAAGTGCAACCTCCTTGTTGTCACACGCAGTCTCACTTTTCCCCAACCAGCCATACTGCCTGTGGACTCAAGCCCTCCTTTAAGTCAGGTGACTGACTCTACAAGAGGATCTCACTAGATCCCTTGTTCCCTAAAGAAGACGGACTGCTAAGATAATCCTCACAACTCTGATAGCAGATAAACTTGAAGACTTTCCTCACTGGGTTCACTTTTCTGTTCTAAATCTGGCTACACCTCCCCTCCCCTACTTCAATCAGGAGTTCATGATTACCTCCAATAATTTAGGGCAGTGTGTGGAAAAGCTGCTTTGGGTGGGATCCAGCCTGGGTGGATGAACTGAGAGCTTGGTTTTGCTATCCAGGCTTCCTGTCACTGCTGTCTGTCTCATGGCCCCAGCAACCACATGAACAGAGGTTCCATGAAGCTGTTCCAACAGTGGCAGCTGGACAGCACAGTCTGTCATCTCCCTACCACCTCTTTCATCTCCCCCTCTCTCGCCACCCCTGCTCTTCTGCTCACCTCGTTTCAAGTAGGAAAAGAGCAATAGAACCACTGACCCACAGGCCTTCACCTGTGCTTGCCATTTCATTTTCTGCCTTTCTTTCTCAAGGTGATATCATGTGCCACAAGAGCAGGAAATGAAAAAACATTCAAAAGTAGAGAATCAGCCATCTCTCTCTACCTTCCATGAAACAAGGCTGGGGCATTATATAAAATATGTGCATAGAACATTGGCTCCTCTGGTGTGTTTGGATTCATTCCTAGCTGAGAAGCGGTCATTTCTCTCTTTGGTTTGCTTTGCCTTTACTGGTGAGAAGTCAGTGAGAAGCCAAGACTGGGGTCCCTGGGCTTGCTGGCTTTTCTGTCTTATTCATGGAGGCCAAGCCCATTGTGGGAAATATAAAGCTATTATAACCCCATATGGTAGCACACAAGACAGCAACTAGCTATTTTACAATATCCGCTCAATTAATGTGGTCTGGCTATGTGCATGTTATGATTCCGGCACAGTGGCATTTTAAAATTAAAGATATAAATTAGCCTTTCTTGAAGAAACAGCACTGGAGAAAAATTCTCTGTGTTGGCACAGCAAAATATTGAAAACAGATCTTGCACGGGACAGAGGATCCCCCAAGAATAAGCAAGCTAGGGAGTGGAGGACAGAATCACACTGTGACATGGCAGCTGGCACCACTGGGTGCTGATCCCCATGCAGTCAGGTCTTGGACTCCAGCAATCACAACAATGGCGACAAGCACCCTGTCATGTCTGCCTTTACTGCACATTACTGTCTTGTTCTTCAAAACAGCACTTTGAGGAAGAAGCCTTCAACATCTCCATTTCGTGGATGAAGAAATTTAAAAATGTTAAGTAACTTGTTCCACTAGTAAAGTGGTGGCTCAGGGATTCAAACCACATAGTATGTTCATATGGTAAGTTTTGGACTTGTTTCCCCAGAGCATCTGATGCAGGGTTGAATATTACAGAAGAATTAAGAGAGTGTTGATTCACTTGGGGATGGATTGGCTGTGAAGTAGAGACAACAGTGACAGTGCCCCAAAGAGATCACTATCCACCCTATCTACCCTACCCTTAAACTTTCCTGCATTTTATTAAGTTGTTTTCTCATTCTCATTGTTTCTTTAGGAGATATTTCCTGAGCACCTACCATTCCAACATGGATGGAAAGGAGGAATTAGTAAGGCATGTATCCTGTGCTTAAGGAGCTCACAGTTCAGCAAAAGACTCTCAAAGTAAAGAAGTCATTTGGTGATGACTAAACAGGGTGACTTAGTGGGTCACAAGGTTGTCATCAGGACCAGCTTCCAGGAAGTGGCAACTGTGGGCAGAGTGAAAAGGGTAAGGAGGGGTAAAAGAGGGGGCCATTTACTGTTGCAGAGGGGAGCATCAGGACATTAGGGAAGAGGCAGGACACAGATCCCTGAAGGAGGGAGATAGATGCAAAGGATAGGAGAGGCGGAGGGGGCGGAGGTGGGGATAGACTTGGCCACTGATGTCATCACAATTAAAAATCAATAAAGCATGACCCGTGTCATTGAGTTCTCTTTGCTTTACTTAAAACATGGGCAAACCCTAATACTTTTTCGGTAATTTTAGGACAGATTTTAGGACAAAATTTCCAAGCTCAATCTGCACTACTTGAACAGCAAAGTTTGAAAAAAGTCTGCCAGCAGATGGCACTCAGTGAACTTAAAAAGGATATCTTGTACCAGTTTGAGCAAAATCCAGTACATGATGAATGTTTAAAAATGTACCGCATTGTATCCAGTTTAGTACCTAGAGAGACTGGGGGTCTGGCTTCAGTCTTCTGCATAGAAGAGCCAGTTTCCTCAGCACTGTTTACTAAGGGCGCTGTCTTTCCTCCAGGACAGGTTTTGGCCCCTTTGATAAAGATCAAATTGCTTAATGTATGTGGATGTTTTCTACATCCTTTCTTCTGTGCTATCAGTCTGTGAGTCTGTTTCTGTGCTGTTTTTAACTCTTTCAGGATTATATCTAGAAAGGAAATAGATCAAATAGAATTTCTAGTTTTAGTTTTTTGAGGAATTGCCACACTGTTTTCCACAGTGGTTGTACTAGGTTACATTCTCACCAGCAGTGCAAGGGGGCTCCCTTTGCCCCACAGTCTCACCAGCATGTTATTATTTGATTTCTTGATGATGACCATTCTTTCTTGGGTAAGATGGAATCTCAGCATTGTTTTCATTTGTATTTCTCTAATGGTCAACAACACAGAACATTTCTTCATGGATTTATTGGCCATTTGTACTTCTTCTGAGATGTGTCTATTCATTTTGCTTACCCATTTTTTTGTTTGGGTCATCTAATTTTTTGAGTTCTTGTTATATTCTAGATATTAGCCCCCTATTTGAGGAATAACTGGCAAAAATTATTTTCCCATTATGCTGGCTATCTCTTCAGTCTTCTGATTGTTTCTTTTGCTGTGCAAAAGCTTTTAAATCTGATATGATTCCTTGTGTTAATCTTGCTGCTATTTTTTGTGCTAATTGGGTTCTGTTCAGAACGTGCTTGCCTATGGCTTCATCCTTATGTGGAATCTGTGCATCCTTATGTCTCCTGGCAGACTGATCTATTTTAACACTTAGGTCTTTGATCCATTTTGATTTCAGTTTAGTACAGTGGGACTTGGTTTGTTGAATGGCTCCAAGTTCAATCTTTCCATTATGCAAACTGAAAAGTTTGCAAAAGAATCTGCTTGGTGTTTATAACTTTTCAGTCGAACTGAAAACTCCAACTTGAAAAAAAATCTGTGCAGGAGGAGAGTGAGTTATGCATGACATCTTATCAGGGACACAAAGGTGAGATGCTTCAGTCTCAGGGCCACCCTCATCCACACTACAGAGTGCTCGTGAAACTAAAGAAAAAAATCTCTTACTAGAAAAGACACACTGCCCTTAAGTGCCCTTAAAATATTCCCCTCCTTTTTGAGCATAATAATTCCATTATTTGTGTCACTTTCTGAAGCACTTGTGGGAGTCGTCTTTGATACAAAATACAGCAAAGACTGCTGCTGCTGAGGGAAAGGCAGGCTGGTAACAGCATTGTGGTGCACCCCCACCCATCTTAGACACTGGATCTGGTACAGCATGGCTTCTGGCTTGTCCCCACATCCAAAAGGACCACAACAAGGCAATATTTTGAATTGATTCAGGGCATGCAGTTAGCCAGGACCCTGAACCTAAAGCCATCACAAAAGAGGACTCCAGAGCTGCTTCAGAAAGTGGCAAAATGGTGGGGACGAGTATACTAAAATCACAGGGAGGATTTTGAGGGGGACTCATGGAAATAGGTCTTTTATTGAAATTTAAAAAACAAACCCTGAACACTCACCATCTATTATGATCACATCTTATACATTGTAACTTTTTAAGGTATATTTCCTTTTATTTAGTTTAAAAGACATTAAACCAGTTTTTATAATACAGTAAATCATTTAGTTAAATATGTGGAATAAATTAGAGCCATTGTTCAGATTAAGGTGGTTTTATTAGATGTTCTTCTCAATGGCTGGGTTGACTGAGTGACCAGTGCTTAGATCTCCACAGACGTGTACCCTATGCCTCTGTAGCAGCAGAGAACTGTTTTCCATCCCAAGGACTTGAAACTCTGGCCAGGGCCTGGGAATATATATATATGACAAACATCTCATGGGCATACATATCCTTCCTTGAAAAAGGCTACTGAGCTGTGGCCTTAGAAAAATTTCTGGGAGGCAGAGGATCCCTCAGTATGGCTGTAGAGTGAATGATTTCCTTGGTGGCACCATATGTAGGTGGTCAGGAAAACTAAGATGGGTCAAACTAGGAAGGGTGACACTTATTAAAATAGAAGTGATAAGCTGGGTGTGGTGATACATGCCTGTAATCCCAGCACTCTGGGAGGTTGAGACAGAAGGATTAGAAGTTCAATCCAGCACAGCCAATATAATGACTTACTCAGATCTTGTCTTGAAATTTAAAAAATATAAATGAGCTTTAGTGGAGCTCAGTACAAGAGCCTTGGGTTCAATCACTATATTACAAAAACAAAAATCAAAACCACAGAGGAAAGGTGGTCTGGAAGTCTTCAGATAAGCACAGGACATGCCAACAGGTGTCAGCATACTCAGTGTTATGGATGATACAGTGTGTCATCTGGAGTTAGAAATTTAACTAAGCGTGGCTGGGGATTTAGCTCAGTGGCATAAGCACCTGCCTTGCAAGTAGGCAGTTGTGAGTTTGATTCCCAGTACCGATAAAAATGAAAAAGACAAAAAAAAAAGTTAAAAAAAAAAAAGAAATTTAACTAAGCGACTCAGCAGGGAGCCAGGGTTCTCACTTTGTAAATATCCTGAGCCCATGCAACAGGAGGGCAAGGAGATTTTGAGTGCTACACCTACAATACAAGGGAGGCAAAGGGGCTTTCTCTTCTCTTTTGCTCTGGTTGCTTTTGCCAGCCGCTGTCTTGAAGTGTTGTCTCGGTGCCAGCCCACACTGCCCAGGAGCCAGTGGATTAAGGACTGAAACTTGCACAATGAGGTAAATAAACCTTTTCTTTCTTCAGTTTGGGTGTTGCATATTTTGCTTCAGCAATGAGAGGAAAGTAACCAAGACACTCAGTGAGGTGCTCCCATGTAGGAGGAGGCCAGTGCTGGGTAGAAATGACCAGGTTCACAAGTCACGCTCAGTCCCTGGCTGGCTCGCTGGCCAGCGACTGTCTGGAAGAGTTGACCTGATTGGCCACCATGGTGACCTATAGAGGTTGTGCCTCAGGAGCACATTCCTGTTCACAGAAGGTTCCAGAGCTGGGGCACTATTGTGGCCACCACTCCATGCAAGTTGAAGAGGTACTTCGGTACCTGCAATCGATCCATGTCCTTCAGTGAGGATGCCCTGTTTATGGGCTCTGGCTTTTCCAATAGCTGCAGTGCCACATCGGTCAAAAAGTTAGTTCCTAGATCCTTGGGTGTGGTTTGATCCAGTACAGTCAGTGAAGGTGCTGTTCAGCTTCACCTGAGTATTCTCACCATCAGTATGTGAGTTGCAGATAGAGGGTAGAATATCAGTGGAAAGCTGTTATGTATATGTGGGCAAGGGATACAAGTGGATGGCAATCTCAGTGAGCAAAGTAAGGAAGAAAATAGCCATGAAAACTCTTCTAACATAATTCAAAATGTAATGTAAATGATCTTATTTGGCCTTTTGCATTATTGCTATACCTCACACTTCCTTGTGCCAACATCCAATTTGAAGTTGACAGAGGTTTTTAAAATTTCAATAATAGGTGGTATTAAACAGATCGCATGGGAAACACTTCATAATGCACACATGTGACACTTTGAGTCTCATGATAATGTGAGCAGATATTAGGGTTGGTTTAGAGGTAAAGGAACATTCTGAAAGCTAAGTGATTGCAGAGGAGGTGCATGGACTGCTGTCCCACTCAGTCTTCCTATGGACCCTGCTTTCTGCATGGTCAGCCTCTCTCTCACTTCTCCGGCTCAGGGTAAGGAGCCTGACGTGAAGGTATTTTGCTAAGCTAGCATATGCTGCCTTTCAGTTCTGGGTATCTCGATGATCCTCTGCTGCTTCACCTGCTGTTCTCCGTTCCTGGAATGACACACTACATGTCCTAAGTCACCTCCCACCTCCCCCTGAGGGTGCAGATCAGCAGCTTTGATGTCCCAGTCTGCTCAAGTCCTTCTGCTGTGTTCCAGTGTCAAGCACAGTGCTTGTCAACCACCAGCTTCTGAGTTCCTGAAAAGACTTGAAACCAGGATGTTGAACGATAAAGACAGAGGCTTGCATACCGTGCCCCTACAGCTGGAGGAAAATGAGTGTTGACCAGAACAAAGAGATACACACACATTAATAATTAATTCAATTCAATTTCAAAGAAAAGTAGTGTTTCCTATTATATATAACTGAAACAAACTATTTTTTTTACAAACAAAATTTCATTTTCAATCATGTGCTAAATGTATTTTGTATTTTTAAATTTTAAATACAGGAAGAAATGAAAAATAGTGATTTCATATATTGAAGCAGGATGACTAATTTGGAATTCTATGGATGTACAGTGAAAACTTGATTAAAAAATTAAAACACATTAAATTACTACATAAATTACTACATAAATTACATTAAATTCCCACTTATGATGGGACATGGGTGTTTGACATCCAAAGGCCATCAGATATATTTGTGGGTTGGATCACAAAAACACAATTCTCAGCATAGGGAGGGAGCCTTTGGATATTTGACTTTTTTTCCATTTTCTTTTCTTTTTGTGGTACGGAGGATTGAACCCAGGGCCTTCACACTGAACTGTATCTCTTCCTTTTTAAAATTTACTTATTATTTTTTTTTTTTTCAAGACAGAGTCTCACTGAGATGCCTAAACTGGGCTTGAAATTGTGAACTCTTGCCTCAACCTCCGTGAGTGCTGGGTTACTTGTGTGTAATGCTGGGCCTGCTTCGTCTATTGTTTCTATGTAAGTCACTCATTCTTTTGCATAGGCTGTGGGCTCCCCGGAGAAAAGGAATCAGTCTCGTACATCTGCCTCTTTCTGATTCTCTATTAATGCTCCTCAAACCATGCTGTAAAGCAAAGGCCATCTTCTGATGTTCCTGGATCCTTGGGAGCTGAACTCAAAGACTGTGTGCACTAGGTTACCAGGCTCTGAGATTCTCACTCACTTGTAAAACAAGAAGTCAACCTGCCACAGCTGTGTGGATGTTGGTGGAAAACAGGAGACGGTGGGTCAGAGACTTTATTTTGTATAGGAATAGCAGGAGCCTGAGTTCCAGTACTTTCTTGTGTCCATTTTTGGGGCCTAGTTCCTCAGGGTGATGCAGAGAGAGCCAGGTGATACCTCCTATGTAGTGGGTGGCACTGTAAGAGGGAAACCTAGGACACTGGGAACCCTAATCTTCTATACAGGGAAGTCAGCGGGCCATGCCTGCCTTAAGCCCAAGAAGACAGTATCTTTATTAAAGAGGACACTATCTCTGTCTTCCAAGGCTGAAAGCAAACTTGCCCTTTGCTTCGGAGGGTGGCGCAGTTACTTTCTTCAGGCTGTGTGCTCTGTCAGCATCTTCCAAGTGATAATCTAGAACAAAGGCACTGGTGCTTTGCCCAGCAGATACACAGAAATGTGAGCCATGCATGTGGAATGGCCACGGCTGGGGACCCTTGGTGGCTGGGGCTGGAGTTATCTGGAGGCTTCTCCCTTCCCATATCTGGTGGTTGGGTGGGATGGAAGCCCCTGCTCAGCTGGAACTGTCACCTGGAACCACACTCTTGGGCTTGCAATTGTCAGACCTGCTGGCAACATGAAAGCCACCAAGGGCAGCCCATACCCATCAGGAAAGGTGGCACATTTGCCTCTAGCTATGGGCGCCTGGCCATGCCTCAGTGGAGCAGAGCACACAGGGCAAATTATTGTGGTCGTCCTTGGAAAGCCTGTCCACAAATGCAGTAGGAACATGGTCTGTGCTCATTGTAGAAATAAGTACACTCTGGTCCACAGAAGAAATTTCCTTACGTGGGCTGCTGTGCGTGCAACAGAGTATACCGGGGAGACCATGTCCACCCGAAACTACTGGCTGTGGCCTTGGGACAGTCATGTGCCTCACTGAGCCTTTAAATCCTTGACACCCAGGAAAGCACCAGAAACATGCAGGCCCCTGTTCCTCCTGCTTCACTCGCAGTGTCACCTGAGCAGGGTCCAGTGAGTCTTGCTTGGGGCTGGGTGAGTGGGTCAAGGACTCTGAGGTCTGCTGGGGTACACGCATGTGTCCCGGAAGTAAAAGCCTACATTACAGACTGTCTGTCTGCATAGAGGCTCCTCGGGCCCTGAGTGAGAGGCACCCGGGTCACCCAAGCCTTTTACTTCATCTAACTGAGTTACAGGGAGGAGCAAGGGGAGCATCTGGCTCTTTGAGCTCCAAGGGCTGGAACAACAACGGGACTAAGTGGACCATGGCATCGCTTCTGGGCTTCTCCCAGCCCAGGGCCCACCCTACCTAGAGAAGGAGAATGAAAGTGTATGTACAGGACAGAACAGAGGCTAAGACCTGAGAGGAGGAGCGAGGAGCAAAAAGACAGCTGCTGGCCATCAGCACTATACGGGGACTGTGCTCAGCTCACTCAACAGCTAGCAGGGCTCTGGTGAGAAACTCCCCATACCCTGGCTGTGAGAATATAAAGGGCACACAAGTCTTTGACAAGATGGCTAATCCTGCAGCTGCCAGAATGTAGCCATTTTTTTTGTCTATTAATAGAACTCTCTATCAATTAAAAATTAAAAAGGTAGGGTCTATCAATTATGACTAAAATGTTAAAATGGGCTAATCTGACATTGATACAACTAATTTATGAAGCATAACTCAGCATGTCTCAAAGGAGAAAATGCCTTGGTTGAAACTTAACCCATTTATTTATTCCAAGGCAGAGTATCTATTTTTAGACAAAAGTTGGTTTTGTTTCTGTTGACATTTTCCCTTGTTTAATAGAAAGCAATTCAAGAAATTCACATGGTGACTGGTAGTGACATTATTGGTAAGTTGGAGAAAGTACACAGAACATTCTTTGCTTGGGAGTGACATTAAAGCAACTGGTGAGTAAGTCTCCCCCATCTAATAACTAGGATCTCTTCATAGGCAAATAGTACTGGGCAGGAACTCTCTAGAGACAGTCAAAGGCTTTTGTTTTATACATGGTGTATCCTGAAGGATAGAGGGCCTCCATCTCCTCACTGGATTGCTCTGAGATCCAGAGACATGGATATTTTTCATCTGTTGTGCAATGTTTTCTCCAAACTCCTCATGCTAAATACCACTAACAGGCCACCTGGATACTCTTTCATCCCAACACATGACATAAGTGGTCACATCTACCACACAGATCTATATAATGAGGAGGCTGCCCTAGTGACATACCCGTATTTCTTGGTGACAGCCAGTTTTGCAAACAATATCAGACCATGACCCAGTGAAGCCTAGCAGCCCACCCCTTGGCTTTGCAGGCACCATAAGAGCCTGTCCCAGTCTCCTGTCATCTCTGTCAGGCATACAGTCCTGTCTTTGCAAACATGAAATGTCCTCAAATACATGTGCTCTTCTCTAAAGAAACACATTTCCCACTCATTGACAAACACTGACTCCAAGCTAAAATGAATGCAGCAGCTGAGGGTCTTTAGGAAACTTCCTTAAGAATGAGAAAGGTGTGTGATGGCACAGCCATTCCCGAGGTCTGCACACTGCCTGTTAAATGCCCCTGGAGTGTCTATACAGCATATCCAATGGCTTACAGATTAGGATCCCAGAAACAACACCTGTCTTATAGCAAAAAATATACATATAATACTGCACTGTAGTCCATATAAATGATGAAATGTTCGAATACACCTATTCCGCTATGTATTTACACATACGTACTCTGTGTGCAGAGTCAGGCACACATGCACAGCAGTCTTTCCCTGGCTCTTCTATTTCAGTGTTAGGGACACCAGGTTGCAGTCTCAATGGCTGGCACAGAGGTCACCGTTGAGGACAAAGGACTGGCTTGATGCATCGTCCTCTGTGCAGGACCAAGTCTGTTGGACAGTGGCAGCCTGCCACACACGGCTTGTTGCAAGGACCGATCTCATTCCAGGTGTCACAGGTCTTCACACACCCCGGGCCACAGGTGTCATACACAGCACCATGCTTGCACTGGGTGGCTGCAGAGAGGAGACAGAGCGGGATCTGAGGAGTGGCTCCTCGGTTCAGCCTCAGCCTGGGGCCATGTCTGCAGGTGGGGACCCCACACGGACCTTTCCACAGTACTCAGGTCTATCCCACACTCAGATCTGCATTTTAACAAGGGAATAACCAACAACTACATACCTCAAATGTTTAGGGAGTCACCTGCATCTATAAAAGTAAATCCTAAGATCTAGCTCCAAAATAACATATATAATAACATCTTAAAATTAACATATAATCATAATGAAAGCTTTTCACTCCCAGGTAAGGCAAACTATAAATTCATACGGCAACAGGAAAATGTATAAGGGTATTCAGTTATTGAAAACAGCATTAAAATTAATCTTAAATAATCTGTCTAGCTATTAAGTTGTGGTGAATAGACATATTCTATGCAAGTTTATAAATATTCAAATGTATGGCACACAGGAAAAACCTACCAAGGATATTGGAAATTTGTGGCATATTTTAGTCAAAAGCAAGCATATGATGAATGAGTCAATTTGAGGCAAATTAGAGCAAGAGTGGGATAGAGACACAAAGAGAAATCAGATATGTGTCCACAGCAAGGGCAGCGGCCAGGCTGGGCTGATCAGGGCATATGAAAATGGTGCAGATGAGCCGGGCCAATGTGCCATCGCTGTGACATGATCTGGGAAACAGAGACTCTGCAACTTTAAGAACAAACTCATCATAACACACTGATGAAAGCATCCTGAAAATTTTATGACACTCAGATTTCTCCACCTGAGTCAATTCGTTCTCATTATCAGGATTGTTGTGACATGTGGAAATTTGGATCAGTAATCTTCCAAAACCACCAGTAACAATTCACCTTTACTTGTTGCTGCAAACAAAAGTAGTGACAATGGGGGATCCATGGTCAGTAGTTTAAACATTGCTACTATTGTTCATGGGTTTGTAGAATATACCTGGTGAAGAATCTCAGAAATGTAGAACTAATAAATAGAACTGGTTCCAAGCCAATGGGTTTTTCTTTGAGTCAAATTATGTGCTGAAAGCTGCTGTACAATGTGGATATCTGACCATAATTAGCAAACAAGTTCATAAGAACCACAAAACAAATTCTATGGAGGCTCCTTGAATGCCCATCACACTAGTTAAAGCCAAAAGAACAGAGTTATCCCATCCAAAGAGAGTGCAATTATCCCTCACACATTCTTTCTTATTGTCGGAGAATTGAGCTGTGTGAAACAGCATTTTGAAAAACATTTAAATGCAACCAATTTTAAAATATTTGACAGTATAATTAACATTTTTCCTGATGGGTTCATATGAAATACTGACATATTTATTTATCACTACTATAAATTTTAACTAAACTATTAACTATCACCAACCACCTGTTCTGAGCAAAGCCACTGTGCACTGCTTTAAAGGGAGAGATAAATGGTTTGGTCTTCTGTCTGGTAGGTAGTTACACTTAATGATACGGAAATTGCAAATGAAACCATATTGACTTTTGGTCAGGCTCGCTCCCTCAGCTTCTAGAGGTGTGTTTTTTGGTTCCCATCCAAAACCTCACTCCCACATTTTCTATCCCTTTCCCATTTTTTTTCTCCTTTACACAGCTGTTACACAACATGGAGTTGTTTTACTCTCCTAAATGAGCAGAAGGCAAAATTCTTGCTGCCTGGCACACCATCCTCAGCCTCCAGAGGGCGCTGCCTGTAACAGCCAGTGGTAAACACTTGCTGAGTGAGCCAGTGAATCCTGAACAGAGAAATCATGCAGGGCAGCGCTGGGCATTTTCTATTTGTCTCTCTGCCCTCCTTTACCTTGTCTACCTTGACCTCTTTAGGTGACACCAAGGGTTCTTTCCGGACACTGAACCAATAGGAAGCAGGAGGGAAGGAGCGAGCATGGCCAACTTTGTAGTCTGGGTTTGCAAGGGAATAAATTTAATACAGGATACATACTTTATAGGGTTGTTTTATAATATTCACCCAAACAGTTAAGTGCAAAACAGTACAAGAGATCTGTCCTTGTGCTAGACACCCAAAGAATCCAGCTGGGGTTGTGGATTTCATAGAAGTCTAGCTGAAGGCCTATAGTTCACGACAATGTCTCATGCAAGTCCATACCAAGGATCTATACCGGGAAGGCCCAAAAGCCAGTGGTGGAAGCTAGAAAGTCTGCATCAGCAAGGTGAGGGATCTGTGCCTGAAGGCTGAAGAGTCCGTACTAGAGGTAGCAAATGACACTCAAGGTGAAGAACAGAGCTCTCCTGACGAGAAAAGCAGACGCGCTTGGTGAAAGTGAGGATCCAAGCACCTTTGATGACGAGAATAGCAGAGTTCATATCAGGAAAACCAGCTGTGGCAAACTTCTCCAGGAAAAGCATCAGCTTGCAATCTTCCCTTCCCATTCTACTTTTATGACATTTTGGCAACAATCCGTAATGGATCTTCCATGCCCAAAGTCACACCGACCCAGTTCATTTGGGCGTTCCAAGTTGACCATCAGTTAATCCCCCAGAGCCAGGTACTCCATCCTCACCCTACACTTCTGAGGCCACTGCTAGATGGCTCTCTCCATACACCACATGGGTTTCCAGTTTCCAGTTGCTAACTCCTCCTCACCTTCTAGGCCCAGGAGTGAAAACAGAACTGTTAGAAACTCAGCAAACATCAGCTGAGCATCTGCTGTGTGCTGGCTTTCCTCGTAAGCCCAAAGGGTTAAACAGGAGTCAGATATCATCCGCAACCTCCAGTTCTGAGTCTGGGCTTGTAATTGAGTAGGTAACGCTAAGCAGGCAGTTTCCAAGTGAAACCGAGAGGTGTTATAGGAAACAGAGAGACAGAACAGAGATAGAAGAGTGAGGAGAGGACTTTAATGGACCAGGAAGACATTCTGGAGGTTGGGAGAGGTGAGCAGAAACTTGCCACACAGACATGGAGGAGGAGCTTTCCAGGCAGAGAGCAGCAGCAGGCGTGACAGCTGAGTCCAGCTGGGTCCTGGGCTCGGTGAGTGGGCAGAGAGGACTGCGAGAAGGGAGAGTGGTGGGAAATAAAGGCAGGATCCAGGGGCCACAAGAGGCAGAAAGCGTTGGAAGAGCTTTGAGCTGAGAATAACATCATCACTTTGGCTTTGAACTGGCCCAACTTTTAGATGACTTTAAAAAAATTAATAATGACCTGAGCCCTCTTTAACCCTCTGTGAATCCAAATGTCTTCCAAACTTACAAAAAAGAGAATAAATTATTAAACACCAAGTGATTTAGTTTGTATTCTAAAAGGTTTCATTTGGTTAGTTCCTTAATAAAATAAGGAACTTCCAAAATGGTTAGTGTTAGCATGTATTTATTCTCTAAGGGACACTCAGACAGTTACAGTGTCACATAAAACCACTGTATGCTGATTTTGTTGATCTTTGTGCTTGGTAAGTGTGGATTTGTGCCTTCTGGAACTGAGCTATTTCTCTGTCCTCTACTTGGTGCTGGAGTTCACACACCCTGCTTTATCTCCTAACATTTACTCACTTACCAATTCAATTATTTAAATACAAGATGACCAAAATTTGTGTATTTTTCCATTAGTTGTTTAAAATTGATTAAATTTTATTGAAAAAAGGTAAAACAGAATTTCATGCCAAATGGTGGGGGAATAACAATAATTAATGCATTGCATATTGTCATCTTCAAAGTAGTTACTCAGTACAAGATTTGGGCATGAAAAATTCTCCAGTTGATACTAGCATGAACTTTCATTTTCAGTGACCTAAGGGATAATAATAGTAAAGCTAACTTGCATGTTTTTCCCTTTTTCCTTTTCTCCTTCCCCTCAAGTCAGTTTCTCTTTTTAAAAAATTTCTTCCCATTTCACAATGTCTGTTGCACATTTTAAACCTTATTTATTCTCTCAGTTTCTTATATAGGAAGACAATATGTTTTCACTGCTGAATCTGATTTATTTCACTTATGAGTATAGTCTCAAGTTGTATACACTTATCTATAAAAGTCTCTAGTTTATCCTTACTTGTGGCTAAATAGTACTTCACTGTATAAAAATACTACATCTTTTTCACCTATTCCTCAGTTGATGGGCATTTAGTTGGTTTTCAAGATTTAGCTATTACATATTGTGCTGGAATAAATATGGGCATATGTACATTGCTGTGGTATGATCTGTTATTAATTTTTCTGGAAGATACCCAGAAGAGGAACAGCTGAGTTGAATGAGACTAGAATCCTTATCTCTTCAGCAATCTCCATGGGGCCAGTCATGGTATACACACAATCTCCTCACTAACAGAGGAGAAGGGTTCCCTTTTCCTACAGTACTTCCAGCATTTGATGTTGGTTGATTTCTTAATGATAGCCATGTTTTCTGAAGTGCAATGGATTTCCCTATTGTTTTAATTTACAAATCTTGAATGACCAATCATGTTGCACATTTTTTATATATTTGCCACTTGTATTTCTTATCCTGAGACATGTGTATTCATCTCTGATACTTTTTTGGATTATGTCTTTAAATGGAGGGGTCTCAGTTTTTTCAATTTATATGTTCTACATACAATTCCTTTGTGATTACAATTTTTTCCCACTCTATGGGTTGTTCTTTTACTCTGCTAGTGAGTCCTGTTGATTATGAGAGCTTTTTAATGAGATGAGATTCCAGTTGTTGATTCTTTGAAGTACTTCCTGTGTACTTTGAGTTTTATTCATGAACTCTCTGCCTATACTTATGTCTTCAAGATTTCTACCTACTTTCTCTCCCAGTACATGTAGTATTTCTGTTTTAAGCTTTAGATCTTTGATCTATTTTGAGTTTAGTACATGGTGAGAAACACAGGTATAATTTTCGTCCTTGGCATGGAAAGACTCAGTTTTGTCAGCATCATTTATTAAAGAGGTTATCTTTCTTTCAGTGAACATGTTTGACCCCGTTGTGAAAGATAAGTTGACTAAGAGTGTTTGTAGTTGTGTCTGCAACTGCTAATCTGTTCCACT